CAGAAAGGAACTTTGCATCAGACTCTGGGTAGTAGATTTATGAGGCTTCCTGCTGGGCTTTGTATTATTCCTACAGCAGGAGTAGCTGTGGGGCTAGAGCAACAATAGAAACTGCTCTGAAAATAGAAAATCCACATTAGGAAAAACTAAATCACAAAGAAATTATCATGGAGAATTTATTTCCAGTTGGTCCTGTAGCATAGTCACATTCTAGTGGATAATTCACCAGGCTAAAACAAGAGGTGTAATCAGTAACAATGGAAAAGATGGTGAGAACTTTTCAATATACGTATTGTACCCAGTGTCTGGCTCTTTGTCATGATCAGAATTCCTGTGACAGAACCCATGACTTTTGGCAGTTTCATAAAGAATATCATGGGCTTTCTCCCCATCTGCCCATTAGGGAACAAAACTTTTATTGTGAATTTTTCTAATGGGTTGGGGGAGGTTGTATGTTTTGCTAGCTTGACGCGCTTTCAAGCAATTAACTGCAGCTAACACATTTAAGGAAATCTACTGTAGTGACAGTAACATGGGAGTCAAAGAGAAAACTCCACACTGTTCGGACCCTGCTGTGCTTTAGAATTATCTTTGTAACAAAAGAACTGCCGCTGCTTTAATACACTAACTAGCATGTGCACCATTATGTAGGTCAGGCCCAGAATTGACAAATGTTTTATTTGGTAGGAACAATACTTGCCTCTCAGGTGCAGAGTTAGGGATGGAAGATGTGGGCTTTAACATTTGAGCAGCTCCCTCACTAGTCACCTGCCCCGTCAGTCTCTTGCTGAGCTGGAAACGCAGAGTGGATTTATTGACTCCCAGGGCTCTGATCTGCTAATTATAAACCTCTGTCCTTCAGAGCTCACTCCTCCTCAGTTATGAGAACCTGATCTCACCAGTTCCCAGAACCGCCCCCCATGTCTGTCCATCCTACTGCAGTGACTTGAAAAATCCAAAGAGAGAGACAGGTTTAAAATTTTGCCTGAAAGTGGATTAGTCCCCAAAATACCCTGCTCAGGGGCTGGCTGGACTGAGCACTAGCACAGAAATTGCAGCATAATGTGTATGCAAAGCACTTTGAGATAAGAACATAAGAATGACCTTGCTGGGCCAGACCAATGGTCCGCCTAGCCCAATATCCTGTCTTCCAACAGTGGTTGGTGTCAGATGCTTCAGACGGAATGAACAGAACAGGGTAATTATTGAGTGATCCAGCCCCTGTCGTCCAATCCCAGCTTCTCGCAGTCAGAAGATTAGGGACACCCAGAGCATGGGGTTGCGTCTCTAACCATCCTGGCTAATAACCATTGATGGACCTATGCTCCATGAACTTATCTAGTTCTTTTCTGAACCTAGTTATATTCTTCACAACATCCCCTGGTAACGAGTTCCACAGGTTGTGTGAAGAAGTACTTGCCTTTGTTTGTTTTAAACCTGCTGCCTATTAATTTCATTGGGTGAGCCGGGGTTCTTGTGTTCCTTATTCACTTTCTCCACACCATTCATGAGTTACTAGACCTCTGTCATATCCTGCAGGGTGAAAGACACTAGATAAATGCAAGCTACCACTGTTCTTAATTTTCACGAGACAGCAAGTGCAACACCAGGGAACACGGGGCTAGCTCAGATCCTTTTTCATAGCTGCACAGTCTGGTTCCTAGAAGAGAGAAAAGAATCTTTAGGAATGTACAAGACCTTCCTGGGGGCAGGAGGCAATGTCGCAGCAAGGAAGAATTCCTGGGCTTAGAGATGGCTCCTGTGCCAGTTGCTGGCTGGATCCAGCATTTCCTAGGCTGTTTCTGAAGCTCAGCTGAGGTGAGTGTGCCTCCGACATCCTCCCAGGATGGCTTTTCACTATTACCTCTGCTGTGCACTCGGGTGATGCCATCCTGCGCGCTACTGCCTGTATGGCACCTTGTTCTATTATACGGGCAGCTCTGCAGCTCAGGTCTGGGAGCTCGGCCATAAGATGGCCGCACGCTGCGTCCCTAGTGCTCACAGTGACACTTTCCAACAAGAGGGGGGTGGTACGGAGCAGGCTCAGGAAAAGACAATTTTCATTAAAATAACAGAGCTGAGATCCAATGGCAGGAGCCTGTATCAGCCTGGGACTGTGCAGAGGAATGTGGGGGATGTTCTCTGCCGAGGCAGATAGCTACTCCCCTGGCACCAGGTGCAGCAGGAAACTACTGATTTCATTGTGTCCTGCCCTAACAATGACCGCTTGAGCCAGACGGCAGTGCCCCCTCCCCCTGAGGCAGGCCGGGCTGATACAGGTATAGTTATTGAAATAATGAACTTTCCTTCTTCCCATGTCCCCCAAAGCCCTCAGTCTGTTCCTCCTTCATCCTATAGCAACACCCCGGGGGACACCACAAACCCAGCTCCTGGCTTCACTGCCAGGAAGGGGCTTCTGCAGCAGGAGCAGCTCCTTCCAGGCAAGAGCCGTAGAACACACCAGGAGTTTCCAGAGCAGGGATTTCCCCACCCCTGCAAACAGTGTAGAGCCAGGACAGAAACAAGTGGACTGTCCAGCCAGTGATTCTGCAGATCCCACACCCTGCACATTGGTGTCCGGCCTCTCAGCTGGAGTTTAAAGTCCCCAGTGCCCTGCTTACACGGAGCACCTTTGTGAGCTTTATTAAGCACAGGGGATCACATGCAGCGCTCACAGTCTCTAACGCTGAAGGCCAGGCTGGGAGGTAGCTGTACATGTGCGTTACAACACAGCTCACAGCCCCACTGTGCTGTACCTACCAAAATGTAAGCGTTTAATCCAGGAGGATGGTAGGCTCTCACCCAGCATGGGGGGAATAGAACCGGCAAGGGTGGGGTGGAGGTGGAGGCTAGCACTGCTGCAATGGAACTATTGGGAGGGGTGCACCCTCATGGGTCATTCCCTGTAAACTGCATGCATGTGCCAGGCGGGTGGGGACTGATGAAAACGAGAGCAGGACCTGTGGGAACTGGAGTGGCTGCCGCGGTGCCTGGGGTCAGGTAGGAACTGGGGTGATTGGGCTGGTGCCAGCAGCAGCTACACCTGGGGAGAGAGATGCACTGCTGGGGCCCCTCCTTCCCAGTCTGGAGCTGGGAGCCTCCCCTCCCCCGCCAAGTCTCAGCAGCTCCCCCTGCAGAGCACCCACCTCGTTCTCCTCTCCTAGCCCTTCAACCCTCCTATTTAACACGAGCTTCCACCACCTCTGACCCCACGCACCTGCCTGCAATGAGGGTCAAGAGGCCCACGGTTAGGAGAGACTCAGCTCAGAAGTAAATTCACCTGGCTTGTGACTCTCCAGGGTTCCCAGGTTGCGGCACTCTATAGCGGAAGATGGACAGAAGGTTTGTGGTGGTGGAAACGGACCAGGGGGATGTGGAACTCTGGACAATCCTTCTCCTGTGGGGAAGCTCCAGGCCTAGAGCTTCCTAGCCAAGGCAGGGGGAGCAGCCGTCTGCTCACAGCCTCACACAGAGAACATGGAGACAGGGTGGGGTGAAGCACAGTGGGTTCTTTTATTCGGGTCTGAGGATGGTGAATACAGACAGGCTCAGGGAGGAAGTAAAGAGTCTGCCGAGTGTGGAGTCATGACAAGCACCTTCTCTCTTCTGGGCATTACCACAACATTAAAACTCCTGCCTGTCCAAGTTTAATGGGAGACTCCCAGCATCACCAGACTCCCACAAGCACAGCCAGCGTCTCCAGTCGTCCTGTGCTGAAATGACAAGCTACGAAACACACTTCTTCTCTTGCCCCGTTGCTTCCGGGTATATTTTTCTCCCCAGCCCACCACCGCCTCTCACCTGCTTCCCGCCACCCAGGCAGTTGTGCAAAGCGCGCAGGCCCAGCTCCCTCAGTGCAGGACTCCTGGGATGCACTTTGCAGGCACTCAAAGCCGAAGGTGCTCACTGACTCCTGAGGCCACGGAGCCCACCTCTGAGGAGTGGAAAAGCCACAAAGGTTTGTCCAGGTATCACAATCTCTTCCTGAGCGTGGACATGTGCACTCTCTCAGCCTTCGTGCAATGGAGACGCTCTGCTGGACCACCAACTTCCCCCTTAAACGGACTTATGCGGTGCTGTGACAGGAGCAATTTAACATGCATAGGAAGCCTAGCATGGTGCCAGTGTGAATGCAAGTCATTCACTCTGGGTTTCTTGCCTGCACAGCCTGGCAGGGAACAGAACAAAACACTCCATTTTCTCACTTAATATTAAGTTTATAAATCTAATATTTGCCCCCATCCTCCTTCCAGCAGCAGCCAGCCCTGGGCAGGCTTGAACAGCTCAAATAGCATTTCCCATGGAAACATTTGCAGCTAGTATATTGGTAAAGCAACTCTCAGCATCCTGACAATGGCCCAGTAAGACTGGAGCCGGTGTTGGGCTGTAGGGTGAATCATGCATGGGAGGGGCAGGGTGGGGATTGTAGGAAGGGATTTCTGTAATGCCCTGCACTTTGTAAATTCGTAAAGGCTTTATCTGAACAGGGGCTGACCCAAAATGGTGGTTTAAAGCGTTGGGAGAATTCGCACCTTTATCGTAGGCAGCTGGTGCTAGCGCAGTCTTATAATGTACATTGTTTCTCAATGAGAGTTGACAGCAAATCATAAAAAGCAAATGCTGTTAGCCAGGTACAAAAACTAAATACACAGTGAGAAAAAACATCCCCCCAAATATTTGGTATAAAACTTGAACGTGCCTAGCTCACACTGCGAGCCCATGATCTGCCACTGCTCCTGTCCTTGTCTCGCCTGCTGGAATGGGCTGCAGCAGGGCAGACACGACTTGGGTTGGAGGATTGCACAGGAGCAGGTCACTAGTGCACAGAGTTCTGGTCAGTGACAATACCTTGGCCAACACCGAACATGAAAGTAAATGCACATCCCCCATCTGGCTGAATCAACCCATACAAAGCCGCATGCTGATGCCAATGAGAGAAGCAGAGCAAGCTTAGAAGGGAAGGTAGAAGAAGCCGGGGAGCTGAATGAAGGGGCACCGGCCAAAGATATAGACCAATTTATTGATTATAGTATTTTTTACACTCATAAATAATAAAAATAAGTGATGCCAATGGGAAGGGCCCCCCCTTCTCCTTCACTCGTGGGGCAATGGAGAAAGTGTGTTTCCCAGAGGAGGAGTGAGCAGGGCGAGGGCTGCAGGCTGCAGAGGGCCAGAGGAGGGGTTGGGCCCGTACAGGAGGAGGGAGGTTCTCACAAGGGTGCAGAGGCAGGCTGAGCCCTTTGTAAATGGAACATCCCCACCACCCTGTGGGTCAGGGAGAGCGTCCCCGCCACGTTGCACCTGGGGCCGAAGCGAGGATCCCTGCCAGCTGCACAGAGAGGAAGCTCCTGGGAAATCAACCTCTTAAGCAATATAAAAAAACTTTCCCTCCAAACTGCCACAGGAGGCTGAGCCAACACCTCTCTGCCCTCAGGAGCCTGACAGTCAGCCAGAGGAGCAGCAGGGTGCAAGGAGAGCGGAGCTCCACCACACAGGCACTGCTGCTCCTGGGATCCTACCGTGGTTGTGTCTGGGTGGGGCTGCTTAGCACAGTGCGGGTAGGAGAAGGGCCCTCTCAGCGAGAAGGCTGGCAAAGCGTCTCCTAATCTCTCCTTATGCAGCCCGTGCTGCATTAGCCAGTAGGGGCCCCAGACAGCGTCTCATGAACTCCTCCCTTACCCCGCCCAGGCCCATCTGGGAAGGCCAGCTACAGATGAACAAGGAGAGTGTGGCTTTTTTACAAAGCGAATGCCTCACATCCAGAGGCTGAGGTTATTTTCTAACCTCCAGGGTTTACCCACAGGCCCAGGAACAGCAGGTCTGACCAGCACTAATGGGTCTCTCAAAATTGCTGAGGATGTTTTTGGTGGAAGCGCTTCAGTTTTGAAGAGCCTGGCTGCTGTAGGTAGCCCCTGCTCAGTCCGGAGCAATCAGCAGCCCAGCCACTGGCTTGGGCATTGGAGCCCATGGGCACCAGCATCCCTTTCCTCGGACTCCATCTCAGGCTTTACTCTCTATCCTCAAATTCCCAGTTATCTGCAGGGTTCCTCTGGCTCAGAGCCAGACTCCAGGCCAGTGGAGTCCAGGGGCTCCATGGCTCACCCACGGTGACATTTCCTGTCAAGGAGACCAGAACCACGCCAGCATTGGCTGGTAGCAGCTGGTCCCCTTCCTATCGTTGCCAGTATGACACTCAACAGCCCAGAGATGAAGCATCCTGAGCAAGGAGGCACCAAGACAGGAGCAAATGCATCCAAGGGAAGAAATGTTCCCCATTCCCGCCAAGCAGTTTGTATGGAACAAGTGTGAGCTGAAACCTTCAGCTCCCTGCTGCCCTTCCGGGGACAGGCCTGTCCCCAGCACGTAAGAAGTAGTGTGGGTAAGAACAGTGCTTGTAGGAAGGTTGGGTGTCTGGGGGCTGCTTTGTAGGAGTGTGTGTGTCTGGGGAAGCATGGGAATTAACTGCAGTTTCATAGAATCATAAAATCAGAGGAGAGAGCCCAACAGGCTCCCATTTCCTCCCCACCCCGCTCGGCGGGAGGCAAAGGCCAGAGACAGGATCGATGCTGGGGATGTGACACGATCACACATTTAACTGACTGGAGGCGGCACTGAGAGGTTTCTGTACTGGTGAGAGAGTCGGTTCCATTGCACCAAGTCTGGGCCCACATCCTGGGTGAATGAGGTGCAGCCAATGTCTTTCAGAGCCTCAGTTGCTGGCTGGCTGTCCAAGGATGGGCTTGCATCACCACTGCCTGTTTCAAAGGCAGCTATTCAAAGAGTCTAGTGGAGCCCAAGCTGGCCCAGGAAAGCTCCTATGCAGATCGATTACTAACAAACATCTCCATAGATACAAACACAATGGCTGTGCAGCGGGCTCCTGGTGGAATTAATAGGGGTAGCTCTTGCTGTAAGGCTGGGAAGGGAGGCTCCCAAGGTCCTGGATGTAAGCCGTGTTCTCGTCCAGATGGGAGAGAGGAACAGTGTCTTCCTCGCTGATCTGCCGGTCAAACTCTGCTTTCAGGGTTGGCCGCTGATTGTCAGGGAAGGCCAGGGAGAAAAGGGCTTCAGGCTCACACACAAACTTGTACACATAGCGCTCTCCAGCAACCTGCAGGGAGGAGACAAGGTGAATGCTACAGTCTCTGTCCCACCCACTCCTTATGCAGCTAGCTGCTCCCAGCGAATGACAGCAGCCATTGGCACGTGAGTTGTTCAGTGGGGGATGAGAGGGACCCCCCCACAGAGCTAGGAAAGACCCTGGGCTCCTCTAGATCGTCCCCATGTCTGAGAGGGAGTTTTCACCACTTCATCAAGCATCCTCTGTGGCTGCTGCTCTAGTCCCACCTGGACTAGCTCCAGGGACAGTGACACCACAACCCGATAAGCAGGCAGGGCACATTGCAAGGGGCAGCTTTTCTCTTAGGGGGCTGGAAATGGGGAGGGCGGGGAAGAGACTCTTAACTGTAGGGATGGAGAACCATTCAATGAGGAGCAGAATTTGTCGTGGGTTATCTTCAATTGCTGGACTTATGCTGTATTTATAGGTTACATCAAGGGTGCCCAGAGCACATGGATAGGTGCTACCTTTAGCCTTTTTATAACTCTAACTAGCACTAATAACAAGAGCCTCCCTTGCCAGCTAATCCCATGACAAGCGCCCTGACTGTTGTTAAGAGGATCCCCCCTTGCTCCCCAATGCAGGTATACATGGAGAAAGCATGACCCCGCCCCCAATTGGCTTTCCCCTAGGATGCCTGGATTCAGCTCCTTCAACCGTTCCTCGGTGGGTCTTGTTTCTTTGCTTCCTGCTCTGCGAATGGTGGGCCAGGGAGAGAGTTGCAGGGAAAGAGGGAACCTCAGGAAGTCAGGGGGTTCAGAACTTGCCATGAGCCAGCCAAACCTCCAATCACAAGCAAGACAAGTGTCAGGACGAGCATAGAACTTGGATCCCGTCACAAACTGACCTTCTGCATGATGCCTTTCTCATAATAATAGCGAAGGGACCGGCTCAGCTTGTCGTAGTTCATGGCCGGCCGGTTCTTTTGGATACCCCACAGCCTGGCCACCTGCAGGACAAAACCCCAGGGTGCATTAATGTCTGTGAGCTCTGAGGAAAGGAGCGCATGACAAATGCCTGTGTGTGTCTGTCTGTCTGGGGGATGTTCCATGTGATCCATTTCTGAGGGAAGAATGCTGCTCAATAGGCAATATAAATAATAATTTATAGCAGGCAAACAATGGAATACAAATAATAAATACCGCACCATTTACACTTCACTGCAGCGAACAAGGACGGCAAGGCTGATAAAGAGAAGCTTCCTTCCACCACTGAGAGAATGTGTGTGTGCAAACGTCCCTGTGGCAATTGTATTGATGGAAAAATCCATCAGTAGGCAAACATTGTCAGGCAATGAACTCCCTTCCTCGATCCCCCAACATTCCGACAGAAGTAAGGGGTTTGAGAATCCTGGGTAATCCTGGGTGCTGAGTGGCTGATAAAAAGGTCACATGTTACTACAGTCTACATGCAAAGCGCTTGGCACTTTTAGCCAGTGCCTATATATTGGCGTGATATGCCCACAGCCAGGTCAGCACTGGGAAAGGGCCACTTCACCTGAAACCATCTTCAGCCTTGAATGATGAGCACTGTTATACAAAAATGAGGCTGAGAAAACACTTGTAAACGAATGTTAATAGTGAAGTGACCCAGCAAAGTGACTCAGCCCATCTGCACTGCATATGTTCGTAAGAGCCTGGGGATTAGCTAGAGCAGCCGCTAAACACAGCCATAAATCGGATCCTGACATTAATGGATGTTCCAGACACATTTCCCAGCTATTATCACAGTTTATTGCTCTGTTTGGAACATGGTGGCACTAGAAGTGATATCTCTGTTAATTGCAGTTCGAATCCATCCATCCCCAGATTTCTCCCAGATTTTTATTTAAAATGCTGTGATCAATGAGGTACACTCCTGCCTCGGCTCTCAGAGACTGCTTCGGGCACTGAATGCCAGGTAGGTGGCACAGAACCAACATGGGACAGCCCAAGAGTAAAACCCCTTGGAAGGAGGAGACCAGCTGAGAAACCCACCAACTGCAGTTCCCTTTAGCAACTCTGAGAGGAGCTATTGGAGGGGAAACTGCCATCTCCTGTATCTGGGACCCACTGACCCAAACTGTTCACCTGCTGGAGCTCAGGTGATGGGGGCGGCCATCATAAGGCTGGGATTTTTGGGCACGTAGCTGCCGTGGCCTCCTCCTCTAAAACCCCAGCCTCAGTGGTGACTCTTAGGGCAACTGGCAAGCAGGAGGCTTTACAGACGTGTGGCAAAGGCCCCGGCCCTCAGGAATCTGAAGAATCAGTAACTCAGCCCAGGGGCCCCTCTTGTTCCATGGGTAGAAGCTGAAGAGTTTTCACCTCCTCAGGCTCAATGAGTTTGAACTCCATTCCTCTGCCGGTCCAGGCGATGAAGTGGGAATTGGTGGGATCATCCAGCAAAGCCACCAGGAACTGCCAGAGCTGAAGAGACCCTCGGCGTTGGTACGGGGGTCCTTCCCGGTACCCGCCCACTTCCTGCTTGATGTCTCCTGCTGAGCAGAACAAACACAAAGGGTTTTGCTATGTCCCTTTCCTTGCCCTCCAGCAGTTCTGCCTCTCCTGACGGGAGGAAGATGCAGAGACGGCTTCTCGGTGGACAGCCACAAAAGACAAAGGCCACCTACAGAGGTTACTGCAGGGATGCCTGAGGACTAACCTCTTCTCACCTGCTGTTTACCCAAGAGGAGAGTCTGGCTAGAAAGCGAGAGCCCGGAGTGCAGCAGGAATCGTGTGACAAGCCAGCTGAAAGAGTTGCTCGCTCTTTGTTTAATTGGAAGAAGCTGGGGGAGTTTTACTGTAGTTCAGGGATCACTCCACAGTGACCCTAATGCACTGTGACATGGCATGCGCTCCCAGGGGAGCCCCATCCTCCGGGGATGGATGCTAAAGGAACCAGCTGCCCTCTGAGTTCTGAGAGAACTCTGCAGAAATAGAGCTTTAGAGCAAATGTGCTTCGCTGTCCCCTTCAGAGACTGGACCCCACCTCCCTTGACTCCTGCATCCCTGGGCAGTGGGGAATCACTAGCTACTCATTTAAGCCCCGGCTCAGAACTGCTGTTAATGTGCAGACAGCCTAGCTGGCTGATGCCCAGCATCAAAGCCCATTAGATAATCTCCTCCTCTAATGTTCATAAAGGCAGGGCTGGCCCTTGGGTACCCAGTGGGGGTGGGCAAATCCCAAAGGGGACGAGGAGAGAGGCTGAGAAATACAGGTGCCAAGATTCTGGGCAGATGCCGGGCCTGGCTTCTGGCATGAGGCATTTACATGTTCAGGCGTGACTCCCTGCAGCAGCAAAGCACATCAGAATGATTTCAGCTTGTGTCTCATCCCAGGGCAATCCCACACACGCTGACCTGGTATGGGAGGCAGGCTGCACATCAGGACCAAGCTCCATTACTGTGAGTGAGCCCATGTTAGACGCACTGCCGCCTGGCTGCAGAGTGACACTGACAACCACATAGCGACTCTAGAGGTGCCTGAGTGGAACTACTGTAAACTGAAGCCGGGTGAAGAGGCCCTGGGGTGCCATGCTCAGCCGGCACTAGGAAAGGGCAGTGATCTTGGCGAGAAGGTTTGGAGGTGTTTGTGGAGAGCTGGGACTGTAATCAAGGGGGACTGGGCCCCAACACCAATGACAAGGCTGGGAAACGGGGCCACTGGCTGGGTGGTTCTGGGTTCAACTACTGTGCAGAAATCAGTATCTCTCAAGTGTTTGCCTACAACATTTCAGTTTGCACAAGAGTGAAGAGGAGGAGAAATTCACCACCAACTGTAGTGATCTGGGCTCAGCTGCTGAAATGTCTGTCTGCTGCTATGAAAACTCAGAAAACAAACTCCCAGGAAGCACAACATCAGCCATGACTCATACATCCAGGTGCGGCATCTCCTAATGAACAGGGTCACGAAGAGGGTAAGCAGAGCTGGCAGTGTGCATATTCCTGCTCACATGGTACATAGGGCCTGGGGTAACCTCATCCTACCCCAAGATTTGGAAGACACACAGGTTTCTCTCTGACCTTCAAACTTCTCCGGGACGACACAGACATCATCAGCAAATGGCCTCATCTGCTTGTTGTAGCCATAGCCTGGAAGAGACAGCAGCAGATGTAATCAGAGAACACAGACAAGCTGCGGCACTGCAGTGAGGTCCATTGCAGGAGCAGATGAAGAGGAGACAGAGCCATGGAGGTTTCTTACCTAATGTCCCTTCGGTATTTGAATGGCTTTGATACCCCTCAGCATTCATGTACATGGAAGGACAGCCAGGAACATCTACAGAATGAGCAACACACACAGATCACTGCCAAGCACAAAACCCATCAGGGCTGGCCTGCTCATCATACAGGATCACAGCCTCAGGCCCTGAAACAGTCAGGCCAACCACTAGCCTTGTGCCCTCCTAAGAGAAAAGTGAGACTCTAGATCCCGTCTTAGCTCCAGCTCAGAGTGGTTCTAGGGCTTGTCCTCTCACCATGGATAGCCATGGATTAAATTAATGTACAATTGTGACACCATCCAAAGCACCGTTTTCATCCGTGATGACAGACAGAGCAGAAATAAGAGCAGAAATATTAACACAGGTTACATTTGTTTGCTATTTCTCCTTCGTTTAGGGTTTAGGGTGACGTGACACTGGACTGCACTATGATTGTTACAGATGAAGAGGATGTTATTAGTCAGGCTGGGCAGGGATGGTGTCCCTATCCTTTGTTTGCCAGAAGCTGGAATGAGTGACAGGGGATGGATCACTTGATAATTGCCTCTTCTGTTCATTCCCTCTGGGGCACCTGGCATTGGCCACTGTCAGAAGACAGGATACTGGGCTAGATGGACCTTTGGTCTGACACAGTCTGGCCATTCCTATGTTCTTATTTTCCTACAGTGCAGCTATGGACGGCAGCCCCCCCCGCTGCATATTGCTCTATGGACAGTCTGTTTCAGGTATATTGTTGCAGGCACTTGGGGTCTTACTGGTGTTAATCTGAGACAGCTGGCTGCAAAGATTGGGAGTTCTCATGAGCATTAGAGAAAGCAAGAGGGTAAAAACAAGGTGGGTGTGGAAGAGGGCAGCAGTTTTAAAGGTTCTATACTGCACATACAGTATGACTGGTTACTGTAGTTTATACACTAATTTTCCAGCCCCAGCTGGGATGGGGGAAGTAACTGGATGCTTTGGAAGAGTTTTCTCATGTCCTCTTGTATAATGCAGTTGCCTTCAGCGCTGTTTTGCTGATGCTAAGGGCAGGGGTACACTGAACTGACTGCAGTCTGCATTGTACATTATTACAGGCATAAACTAGTTTCACGAAAACCATTCTGCTAGAAGCAGGGTCATTTTTACGCATGTCTGGGCGGAGGCACTTAGTGAGGGGTATTGTCTCCATGGCGGGCACAGAGAGACATTCAGAACCCCAGTGGGAAATTTGACTGAATTTATTTTTGTTCATGAAAACCAGTCCAAAGTGGCCATTAAAACGCCAGGAGAGCGGGAGCAACCTTCTTTCTTCAAAGGGGGATTGATCTCGTGTGGATCACGGCAGCATGTGCCCGCACCTCGGGCAGGAGTCTGCTGGAAAATAAGCTTTTCACTGAGAAAAACTAACTTTATTCCCTGACTGGTTGGGTTCCCAGCCAGCCCCCTTTGGAGATTATTAATAAACATTTCTGTTGTGCCGTGATCAGCTCTGACATCCTCTGAGATGCTGGGTCTTCACCCCTGACTTCCCCCAGGATGCTTGCTGTGGGGGTGACAGAGCCAAGAGGAAGATAGTGAGTCCAGCTGATTAGAAAGTTCTGCTTAGCGCAGCAGACAGACCCAGCTGTACTTGGAGTGGCTCCCATCCTCCAGTTTGGTGTTAGTGGCACAGATGTAAAAGAAAAGATTTGCTTCTCAGAACAAAGCTGGTTTATCTTGCGATTTAACCTCCAAACGAGGGAGTCGTTTCTCATTGTCCCTGACTCGCTCCAGGCAGCAGTCAGACAGCAACACACCAGCTCATGTTACCAGCCACCGGCTGATGTCAGCTGCCTATGAAAAGAAAGCATGTGGTGAAAGCCGACACCACCGCCAGCCCAACTGGGAGCTCAGCTCCTTCCCCAGCCCTCCATTTTGTGAATGAAATTCCTCCGACTCCATTCAGAGGGAGAGGAGCAGTGTGTGCCAAGCTGCAGGGCGGGAGCACGGTTCAAGGTTATGTAATGCAATCCCTGGCACTGGGGAGGAGCGCTCCAGCTCCCCTAGCATTTGAAGGTCACTGGCGCTGCAGAGACCGCAGCGCATTCTCTGTCCTAATTCCAAGCCACTGGACTCCCTTCTGCAGCTTTTGACAAAGGGATTTCTGTGCAACTTCTGCACGGCTGGTCCTTGTGTAACACAGCAAAGTTTGCAGGGAGCTAAACTGAATGCAGGGGAGCTTGCAGCGTGCACACCATAGGTGCTGGAACTAGGGGTGCAGCCGCTCCCGCTGGCTTGAAGGGGTTCATTATATGCAGGGTTTCCAGTTTGGTTCAATGGCTCTCAGCACCCCCACTGTACAAACTGTTCCAGCACCCCCGGCGCACACTGACCCAGGTGGGAAAATCGCTTTCTGCAGAACCCACTAGCTATTCCCTCGGGCCACTGCTGCCTCCTAGGTGCCCAAAGCTCTTTCTAAGAGCTAGTGTAACCCACACACCTCCTGGGTGTGGTGCTCTGTCCCATCTAGTGGCACTGAGACCACAGAGAGAGAGAGAAACTGAATCTGCTCTACAGCCAGTTGGCTTTTAGCTCATGCACTAAGCTCTAGAGGTCCCAGGTTCGATCCCGACCGGGGTCTGACGGCGTTACACTAGGAAATCACATTTCCTCCCTTTGGGGTGGGAGAACGTGTCATCTGGATATCAGTGCCTGCTGAAAAGCCCTCGCCAACACACCTCTCTTATTTAGGGAGTAATAACAGCCTCCCATCAGCACTATATCTGAGCACCGTCCATGCAAAACCAAGAGCCACACTGAAGTCCCTAGTGGTCCATTTCTGACCCATCTCATGACACCAGAACAAGTGAGTGACACTCCGAGTACCTTTCCCAGACCTGAGGATGAACTCTGTGTGGCTCGAAAGCTTGCCTCTCACCAACAGAAAGCAACAAAGAGTCCTGTGGCAATCTGTTAGTCTTTAAGGAGCCAAAGGACTCTTTGTTGCTTTTTACAGATCCAGACTAACACGGCTACCCCTCTGATACTTGTCACCAACAGAAGTTGGTCCAATAAAAGATGATACCTCCCCCGCCTTGTCGAAAGAACAACAGGCAAATGAAGCTGCTAAGATGCTATCCTTCTTGGTTTTTTTAAACACAATGCATTAGCCTGTGGAACTCACTGCCACATGATAGTTTGAGGCCAAGAGCTGAGTGGGATTTGACATTTATGTAAATCATGAGACTATCCAGAGTTACATTAAAAAATAAGAATTTATAGGGGTGTTAAACACTTCTTCTTCAGGGCATGAGCCAACCTCTAAGTGCCTGGGGCTAGGGGCAGATTATTCCATAACTGTTCATTATAGGGTGTTTTATATCGCTTGCCAAAGCATCTGGTGCTGGGCACTGTTGCAGACAGAAGCCTGGTTAGATGGACCCCTGGTCTGATCGGGATTAGCAGTTCATATGTTGTGGTGTGAGGAACACACACAGAGTTCCATTCCCCTCTGTATTTTGTCACTTACTCATTATTCACTGGGGACTCTGGATTAGTGATTGTGCATTGCTGGGGAAGGTGTCAGAAGACAACAAGGCACCCCCAGGATTCTTCAAGGATGCAGAGAAACCAGATGTGACCTACACTGCCCATGCACAGGTCTGGGCTCCTTTTTTTGAGGACTCACCCTTGGAATCTAACCAGAACATGACTAAAAATGCATCCAGAAAGCAAGAGTACTGCTCAGTGTTCCCAGATCCATCAAGAGGAGGTCATTGTAGCCTGGCCTGCTGCCAGAGCATTTCTGCAGATTGCAAACGTCAGAGTTCCTACCAGGAAACAGTCTCTGATCTTTTTAAGGAAGCAAAAGTTATGATTTATTGTTGTTGTTGGCAGGCAGTTTGTGGGGCATAGCTCAAAGACTAAACATGGTACTTGAGCTTTTTTCCATGGTCTTTGTTACCCCAGTCAGAGTGCCAGGCACTTTCATGACGCCTTACAAGTTGGGCTCAGTATGGGCCCAGTCCTGCATTGCTGATGGAGTTTTGCCATTGATTGCAATAATGCAGGATCGTCCCGTCCCTGCAGGGTTGTGGGCAGCACAGAACCCACTGGGAGGCTGAGCAGGCAGGACGTGGCAGCATTGCCAATACTGCCAGGCAGTTCTGAGGTTTCACTGGAAACTGGCAGGGCAGCAGTCCATTTTCTAAGCAATTATAGACTCATCATCATCTCAAAAGTCGCTGCTTTCCAAAAATCCTCCCCTTTATCATTCAGGGAGAAAGGAATTTGCTCCAGAGAGCCCATGGAATGTCCTCTGTAATAGGCCAACTAGGGCGAGGCAGAGAGATTATGCTTCTTGGCCTCCATGTCTGGCCCCTTCACCACTTAAGATTGTCAATAACAGGCTAGTAAAGAACATGCATTACTGTGCATTAGCCTTCATTAATTTCCCAGCTCTGAGGGCCGCGAGAATCTCTGGCAGGGCAGTATTCCTGTAATTAGGGTTCAGGCACGGGGGGAGGAAGGCCACACCTCTCTTTGAGATGTAATCGTAGGCTTCAGGGAAAGGTAGAGGACAGACTTGGGGAGCAGCCCAGCGACCTGTAATCCCCTGCAGACCCTCTGGGATGCTCTGTCCCTTTCCCTTTGGGGCAGGCAACGTGGCATCCTATGTGTGTATGTAGCACCCAGCACAATAGGGTCCTGCTCTTTGACCAGAACCCCTAGGCAATATTAAAATAGAAATAATACCCTAACAACATAAATTCCTACTGGGCAGCTGCAGCTGTGGGATTCTCCTTCTGCAGCCTGGAAAGTCTGATTCATCGATTCACAGAGTTCAAGGCCAGAATGGGTCAATTCTGATCATCTAGTGCAGAGGTTCTCAAACTTCTTTGCTCCGTGACTCCCTTCTGACAACAAAAATTACTACATGACCTCAGGAGGGGGGACTGAAGCCTGAGCCCACCCAAGCCCTGCTGCCCTGGGGTGGGGGGGACGCCCAAAGCCAAAGTCCGAGCCCCACCACCCCTGGTTGGGGAGGGGAGGCGCAAAGCTTCAGCCCCAGGCAGGGGGCCTGTAACCTGAGCCCTGCCGCCCAGGGCTTGGGCTTTGGTCCTAGGTGGTGGGGCTTGGGCTTTGGCTTTAGTCCCAGGCCCCAGCAAGTCTAAGCCAGGCCTGGCGACCCCATTAAAATGGGGTCATGACCCACAGTTTGAGAACCCCTGATCTAGTCTAACCTCTTGCATAGTACAGGCCCCAGAACCTCATCCAGTAATTTCTGTATCAAACCTCTAAATGCTGGCTGAGCGGGAGCTTATCTTTTAGAAAGAGACCCAGTCTCGATTTAAAGATTTCACGGGATGGAGAATCCACAATGGCCCTAGGTAAATTGTTCCAATGGTTAATCACCCACCCTAATAAAAATCTGTGCCTTTTTCCCAGGTGGGATTTGTCTAGTTTCAGCTTCCAATCAGTGGGTCTTGTTCTGCCTTTTTCTACTAGAGTAAAGAGCCATTTTCTGTCAGAAACGTCTTCCCTAGGCAAGTACGTGTAGACTGGTATCAAGTTACCTCTTCACCTTCTCTTGGATAAACTAAACCGATTGGGCTTCCGAAGCCTCTCACTCAGTCTAAGGCATGTTTTCCAACCTCGAATCAGTCTCATAGCTCTTTCCCTGCTGCTCTCCTGAGACCTCCCTCAGGCTCAGAGGGCGTGGAAATTGGGAGGGGAGGTTTCCCAGGAGGAGGGAGGCTGTTAGCCAAAGCACCTATGCGCTGCTGCCCCATAGCATGGCAATGGAAAGCTAGAACAAAAATGCCACTTCAAAGCCCGTGACAATGCCAGCGAGTAGGTTCCCCAGGAGCCAGTGCACCCAGCAGCCTCTGGCCTGCATGTATTGCTTTAGTCAGGATAATTCTCCTGCCCTACCTGAGTCATAGGCATAGTCTGTCTGCTCCTGCTTGATCACCACTCCCGCTGGGTACCGGTGGTCACTGCTGCCCCCCAGCTGGCTTGCCTGCTCATACATCGGGTCGTGGTACTCCTGTTTAAAGCCCTGCGGATGGTACTGTAGGCAGGGCTCGGACATCTGTCGCTGGTAGGCAACTGGAGCTTCTCGGCCCATGCCCTGAGAGGAGGGGAAGGAACGGCACATCTCCGTAGGCGGCTGGTAGACAGAGCTAAACGGGGGGAAATAGCTGATGTGGTGACTGCTTTCCCTAATCACAAACTGTTCGGGACCCATATGCAAAGGTGGGAGGAACAGAGATTTAGAGGGTTGTACCTTAATCAAAAGAGACACTCATGCAGAGCTCTAGCAAGGAAAGGGCACCTTGCAGGATATTCCCAGGGGCTGTTGCATAGCTGTAGGTCATATAGAATCTACAGCTATAGAGCTGAATGGGCTTCAGACAATAGACTTCCCCCACATGGGCACCAGGCAGCAGCTTGGGACCCAGGCTGGTAACAAGAGGGAAGGTCTATGATTGCTGGAAAGAGACAGCTTTGATTCAGATACAGTGGGGGACATCAAGGGAGCTTTGGGGAGGGCAGCCCCTTTCACTGGAGGCTGTCTACCACCTTGCCACTGGTGTGGTCACTCACCTGTGTTCCATGAGGTATCCACGGCTGGATGTGGGTTGGGACGGCCCCCGAGGGCTCAGGAAGCTCCTGTCCTGCCTAGGGAAATGTTGAAGCGGTGACTGTATCGGGGTTCCTGGGTTTGGGGACTTGAGTCCAACTTGTCTGGTTTGGTCATAGGCACTGGGACAGTCAAACAGATATTGGAATATTACAATCTCCTGACAGCGACCCATTCCATTCACCTGGGGAGAACGTGCCACAGGCAGTCACCTGGCAATGCAGCTCTCTGAGTAAACTTCCCTCTTTTTTATTACTGATCACTCTCCTTGATCAAACTAATGGCACTTTACAGAGGGGTCACCCAATGAAATTAATAGGCAGCAGGTTTAAAACAAACAAAAGGAAGTATTTTGTCACACAACGCACAGTCAACCTGTGGAACTCCTTGCCAGAGGATGTTGTGAAGGCCAAGGCTATAACAGGGTTCAAAAAAGAACTAGATAAGTTCATGGAGGATAGGTCCATCAATGGCTATTAACCAGGATGGGCAAGGGATGGTATCCATAGCCTCTGTTTGCCAGAAGCTGGGAATGGGCGACAGGGGATGGATCATTTGATGATTCCCTATTCTGTTCATTCCCTCTGGGGCACCTGGCATTGGCCACTGTTGGAAGACAGGATACTGGGGTAGATGGACCTGTGGTCTGACCCAATATGGCCGTTTTTATGTTCTTATGAATGGGAGAACAAGGCCTGGGTGGTGAAGAGCTTACACTGCAAATACAAAGACGTGCAGAGGAGTGGTGGGGAGGTCAGTACAGGGAGGATCTGGGGAAGGGAGGGATGAAGGAGGAGAGGGAAAGTGCTTGGCAGACAAGCAGAGGGAAATTTTTCTAAGCATCAGGGGCAGCCAAGACACCAATAAAGAGATGCAGGGGGACCGTGCAGAGATTGAGAACGGGTACAGCAAAGCACTGCTACATTGGGAGGGTTTATTTGAACAAGTAAACATGCTGGCACCAGTGGCAGATTTAGAGTTAGTGGGGCCTGTGCGCCACTTCATTTTCGCCCCATCCCGCCCCCGCCCCTGGACCCAGCCAAGAAAAAGAACATTCTCTCCTATCTCCCCCCCGTTTTTCATTCTTTTTTTCTTCATCCTCCTCCTATATTATAAGTAATGGGAAGTAAATGAAAATAAAATGAGGTATGTTGGTGAGGGCAGGGGGTTGGGGTGCAGGAGTCGGGCTCTGGGAGGAAGTTTGGGTGCTGGATGTGGGCTCTGGGCTGGGGCAGGGGATTAGGGTGTGGGAGGGGTGAGGGGTGCAGGCTCTAGGAGGAAGTTTGGGTGTGGGGTGCAGGCTGTGGGCTGGGGCAGGGGGGTGGCGCTTACCTCGGGCAGCGTGGCTCCCAAAGCGACTGGCACCCCCCACCCCCCACCAGTGGCTCCTAGGCGGGGGGGAGGGCATGGGGTCTCCGCACACCGCTGCCCATAGGCGCCCTCTGCAGCTCCCATTGGCCACAGTTCCCAGCCAATGGGAGCTGCGGTGTTGGCACTCGGTGCGGGGGCAGCGTGCGGCGACAACTCCCCCCAGGGGCCACAAGGACATGCCGTCCACTTCCAGGAGCGAAGCGGCGCAGAGGGAGGGAGGCAGAGCAGGCAGGAAGCTGCCTTAGCCCTGCTGCTGGCGCGTCTCTGTGCACCCCTTGGGGGGAGGGAGGCAGCAGGTCTCTGTGTGCTGTCCAGGGCAGGGGCAGCGTGTGGAGCTGCCTCCCGCCCCCCGCCCCCGGCCAGGGGTGCGCAGAGACGTGCCAGCAGCTGGTTGCTTCCAGGAGCAGCATGGGGCCTGCCTGAGCCCTGCTGCGCCACCAGCTGGGACTTGGGGGCAGGTTGTCAGATATTTGTCCTGCATTTTGGGGGCCCCCCTGTTGTTGGGGGCCCCCTGTTGTTGGGGGCCCCCTGTTGTTTCATGGTAAATCCGCTCCTGGCTGGCACGGATACTGTACAATAAACTAGCGTATGACCAGGCTGCCGGGGTGCGGTGTTAAACCGGATGTAACCCATCAATCAGTTTGCACTAGCATGTCAGAAGAGACCCAGCGACCCAACAGGACATGTTGCAGTAGCACGCCCTCATCTTTAGTTACCCTTCCCTCCCTCCGGCATGCGAGCGGCATTACCTGGTGTAAAGGCATTGCTCGCCATTGCGGTACCGAAATGGCTGCTTATGGCTGCAGGACAGTGCTGGGTCAGAACAGGGACTCTGTGGCTCCTTCTTAACTTTAGCAGGAGGGCTGTGAAAAGCTACTGAGAGAGAGAAAGAAACAGTCAAGTCAAAACTCCTCCTGGGCCCGGAGAGATGGCATTTGTGTCAGCAACTGAGACACATGGGCACGCACTGCCTGACCTACTGACCTGGCTCTACGCCAGGGGTCTCAAACTCAGATGACCTCGAGGGCCGCATGAGGACTAGTGCATTGGCCCGAGGGCCGCATCACTGACACCCCACCTCGTTGCCCCCGGCCCCGCCTCCCCTCCACCCCTTCCATGAGGCCCCACCCCTGCCCCGCCTCACCTCTTCTCGCCCCTTCCCTGCCCCCATTCCAACCCCTTCCCCGAAGGCCTCACCCCAGGGGGTGCAGGAGGGGGCTCAGGGCAGGGAGTTGAGGTGCAGGAGGTGTGCAGGGTACTACATGGAATTGGGGTGTGGGGTGCAGGAGGGGTGGGGTGTGCAGCGGGGCCTCAGGGCAGGGAGTGCAGGAGGTGTGCAGGGTGCGGCAGGGGGCTCAGGGCAGGGAGTTGGGGTGCAGGAGGGGGTGAGGGGTGCAGCAGGGGGTTGGGGTGCAGTGTGTGGCAGGGGGCTCCAGGCAGGGGGTTGGGGTGCAGGAGGGGTGAGGGGTGCAGGAGGGGTGAGGGGTGCAGGGTGTGGCAGGGGGGTCAGGGCAGGGAGTGGAGGTGCGGGAGGGGTGAGGGGTGCAGCAGGAGGTTGGGGTGCAGTGTGTGGCAGGGGGCTCCAGGCAGGGGGTTGGGGTGCAGGAGGGGTGAGGGGTGCAGGGTGTGGCAGGGGGGTCAGGGGAGGGAGTTGGGGTGCACAAGGGGTGCGGGGTACGGGCTCCAGCCCGGCGCCGCTTACCGAGAGCGGGATGGCAGCGCCGCGCCCCACAGCCAGGGCAGGCTCCCTGCCTGCCTGCCCGCCCTGTCCCCGCTCCACTCCAGGAAGCAGCCGGAGTCCCGGGGAGGGGAGGGGGGGGAACGGCGCCATGTGCTGCTCTTGCTGCTCCTCCAGGTACCTCCCCCAAAGTTCCCATTGACCGCGGTTCCCAGTTCCCGGCCGATGGGAGCTGCAAGAGCACGGAGCCCTCTACTTGCCTCCCACCCCCCTGCTCAGGGCTGCAGGGACATACAGTAGTTCAGCTGCTTCAGGGAGCAGCGCGGGGCTTGCGGCGACACGGGGTAGGCGGGGGGGGGAGCGCGGGGACCTTGGCGGGCCGCACGAAAGAACCCCGCGGGCCGCCGCGTGTTTGAGACCCGTGCTCTAGGTGAAGCAGAATAACAATGGGTATAACTGTTCTCTGGAGTTTCCCGAACTCTGTCCCAAATACCCCTCCCTACCCTTTGTTTACACTAGCTGCTGTCCGAATATTTAGTTAGGTTCATACTGTGCCCTTAAAGACGCTAATCTGGGGAAGAGATTATAGGCACTGTGAAAGTCCAGGGCAGGCTAGGTAGGAGGGAGAGTAGGTATATGCTAAGCAGTTCAGGACTTGGCAGGGGAGAGGCGACATGGTGTGTGGGTGTCTAATTATTTTGTGTTATAACCTAAAGGGTAACACATTCTTATTCTGCTTTTCAACACCTAGAACCTAAGGTCTGGCTTTGCATCATGCGAACCACCCTCTCAGGTTCACATGCATGCCAACAGTGTGTTGTGAGTAACATCACCATGTCGTTACATTGTGCCATACTGTACTGACACAGTCTCATGAGGTACATTTCATGATATGCTAGTTTGTCCTGTAGGACAAACAAGTTAAGATGGTTACCATAGAAACGGCTATACTGGCTGCTGAAGGATGTCCGTAGGGAAATATTATTACACTTATTGAGCCATCGTCACTGCTTAGTGCTGTACCAATGCCGAAGAAAACAAGGACTAATATTTTCAAGAGTCCCTTAGTGACTGAGGAGGCTAAATTCCATTTTCAAGTGACTTAGACAGTTAAGAGTCTAAATACCACTCACTTTCAATGAGAGTTCCGCTTCTAAGTCACTTAGGGGCTCTTGAAAATTTTATCCAAGGTCTCTGCCCAAAAGTCAGTACAGACAATATCACACGGGACCATCGGACTCATGGGTCAGAGGTCAAAGCTTGCAGTGCTAGGGAGTTTTTTTTTTTTTTTTTAATTTGGAAGATTAAAACCCCTTCCTAACTAGCAGTATCAGCAAGATGCCCCTTTGTAACATTAGCGATTTCAGGTTGTCTCCTGGGAACCAGCTAAGTGTAACCACACAGTTCACTAACACGCGCAGCACCATTACACAGCCGGCTGCATGCTATGTGACATTTGACAGCGTGGGTTCAGACGACATACAACAGTTAGGGATGTTCCCCGGTGCCCTCTCACAGAGACTGCTCATGGAGCTGGGAGGAGGAGATATTTATTGTGAAGGAGTCATAACCACTGCTTCCCCAATACCCTCTTTTTTATTTTTCATTATCTACTTAGAACAGAGAACAGTGCAGGTCACACAGAGTTCTGGGTTGCAGCTATCTGGAGAAAGGCCCAATGTAGCTAGGTAAATGTTTGCCTAGTGAGTGACAGCTCAGCAAAGCTCTGTGCACTTTAAAGTCGCACAATCAGTCTGCCAGTGTTGCATTTTATCTTAGATCTTTAGGAAATGCTCTTTATCCAGAATTCCTACAGATAAAGAGCAAAAATCAGATACAAACCAACAGCCCCTCACTGACAACAACAGCATGGAAAGCCTTCAGGCTGTCAGTAGGCAGCTACAAGCCAGAGAGTTCCCTTGAAACTGTTAACAACACACACCTTATTTCCAGTCTGAATTTGTCTAGGTTCAGTTTCCAGCCATTGGATCACGCTAGACCTTTGCCTGCTAGGTTGAAGAGCCTATTAACAAATCTTTGTTTACCAGTAAGGTCCTTATGGACTATAATCAAGTCGTCCCTTAACATTCTCTTTGGGCAGGTTTTCTAGTCTAATGTTTTAATGAGGGCGGGAGCAGCCCAGCTAGGTCACACGTAGTTCACCCCTCGGGACCCAGTGCTCCCTAGTGTCTTGGCCCGTCTAATTTTCAGTGTGCCGGCACTTCGCTGGACAGGTGCTAGCACATTACACATCAGCAGGAAGGACAATGCTACCAATCTCCCGGCTGCGGGGCACCACAATCAGCCTCCATCAGCTCAAGTGTCTGCCACTTTGCTCCAGGTTTCTGCAGCACCGGCATGGTGGGTTGTGGTGATTTCCTTTGGCGGACTTGGCTTCTTTGCATGCTGAGGGAGGGGCAGGGAGAAACAAGCAGCCTGTTTGGTCCAAACTGGTAGACTGCCAGAGAGTGAACTTGCAGAGGAGATGCAGTAACCTCCCATAGGAGTGTGTGTGCAGATGGGGGCCGGGGGGGTGAGTGATGGGGGTGGGGAGCATGTTACTGCATGAACCATTGCAGAAAGGTATAAAATCACAGAACTGTGGGGCTGGAAGGGACCTCGAGAAGTCATCAAGTCCAGCCCCCTGCGCTGAGGCAAGACCAAGTAAACCTGGACTATACCTGACAGGTGTTTGTCCAGCCTGTTCTTAAAAACCTCCAGTGACAGGGATTCCACCACCTCCTTTGAAAGCTTGACCCAGAGCTTAACTATCCTTAGAGTTAGAAAGTTTTTCCTAATCTCTAACCTAAATCTCCCTTACTGTAGATTAAGCCCATTGTTTCTTGTCCTACTTTCAGTGATCATGGAAAACAATTAATCGCAGTCCTCCGTATGTGCGCAGGTTTGGTTGATTCCACACTTCTCTAAAGCATTCCTTATTTAAAGAAAGAGCACTGTCCCATCTTCATCGCTCCAGCGAGTGGCTTTGGCCTGATGCAGGCAGGAAGAAATATTTCTGAGCTGGCTAGAATGTAATGAATAACAAACGTGGGTTGCAGTTTACAGGGTCAGGAAGTGGGACGCGGATATTGTTACGTCTTATGCATAATTAAATCCAGCAGGGAGCAAAATCTCTTTACAGGCTCTTCTGAGGAGCATGTCTCAGGCTGAGGGCCACATGCAGCTCTGTGAACAAGGTAAGCACCTTCTGACTTTGCCTCTGCTGCTGCCTTCAAGTCATCACTGGACAGAGGAAGGAAAGAGCTACATGGGTTATGCCCCATTTTGAACATTCAACAAGGAGAGGGGAGAAAAGGGAAGAAGAGGCATAAGGAGTGGAGGGGTTAGGTACAGAGAGATGTGCATTCTTGCACTGGGTCTATGTTTGGTCCTCAATCACCAGGTTCATACCTAGTTAAAAATTCCATCCACTCTAGCTGATACCATTTCACTTAGCAGGGGTTCAGGTGCTTAAAATCTCCCTAAAAACCTAGGCAAGGTTAAGTACTGATCTGTGAATGGCTTGTTCGGTTTATTTTGGCACTAAGTAACCCGAGACATTAATTGGCCAGTCAACTTCATGCCAGGCCCTTTGCCAACAGCAGGCAGCTCTCTCTGAGATGAGCCACGCTGGCTGATTTGCTGAGTTCTGGCCATGAGGATTCTGCTGTGCACTCTGCCCTGCAGCAGCTGGTGAAGGGAGCAAGTGAATTCTTGAAATTCCTAGTGCCCCTGAGGTGGGAGAACAAGCCCCTGAGAATCCCCCCAGGAATAACAAGAGCGGCACCCCAACTGTGTCAGGCTAGTTTACTGCCAAGAGTTGCCCCAGTTTTTTTATTTCCATCCCCCCCAGCAGTTGTTCTCTAACCCAGCCACCTTTGCTTTTCAGCTGCACAAGGAGGCACCTTTGAGCATTTTTGGAGCCTTACTGAGCACCCAGGAGCCTGGCCATTGAGAGCTCTCCAGGACAAGGCTTGTGTTTTTTTTTTTTTTTAATTTCCAACATTTTAGGCACTAACTTTCCTATTTTCATGAGCAGATATTGCTGGAAACAAATGCTTGGAAGCAGCTCTACTGTCAGTTACAGCAACCTAAATCTGGAGCAATGACTTTGTGTTACTCTGGGATTATGCTGTTGTAACTGAAAGCAGAGTTGGCCCTCGGTGTTTCTCTTCTCCCCTGTGAGATGCTGAAGATGTTGCCCTGGACTCCCCATAAACAACCTACCTGGGGTAGAAGTGGGTTGGAGGCTGTAATAGGGTGGCTCACCCGTTATGGGCAGGAGGGCTGGGGTTAGCCAGCCCTGATTACAGAATGAGCCACTCCTGGGAGAGATCAGGGTGGCTGCCTATAAAGAGCAGCAGGAGGCTCCCCTGAGGGAGGGAAGCACAGGCTGGGGGTAGAGAGAGGGTGAATGGTTCCTGCAGGGGTGAGATGCTGAGCCTGAGGGGTCTGTGAGCAAGGAACTGTAGTGAGCAGGATGCTTCTGCTAGGGATCCTGCCTGAGAGAAAGGTTAGGGACTGGAAGCCAGAGAGCTGAGAGAGGCTGAACTGCTGCCACCTGAAGCCTAAAAGAGACTTTGACCTGGGGCCTAGCTCTGGGAAAAAGGGCTGGGAACTCCCTACATAAAGGGAGAGAGGGATTGAACTGGGGTTGGAGCCTGGAGGCCTGCTATGTAAGGACTCAATACAGGCAGGGCTGGCTCCAGCTATTTTCCGCCCCAAGTGGCGAAGCGGAAAAAAAGATAAAGCCGATCGGCGGCACTTTGGCGGCAGCCTAATCATGCCGCTTCTTCTACGGCAATTGGGTTGTGGATCCTTTGCTCCCTCTCTTCCTCTTCCGGGGCAGCTCAAAGAGGGACTGAGGGACCTGTTGCCCCTTTCCATTGGCTGCCCCAAGCACCTGCTTCCTTCACTGGTGCCTGGAGCCTGAATATAGGTAGCCCAGGAGGAGAATGCTGTAATTACCTGTGGCTTGTAAGCTATTAAGGGGCCCTGATGAGGGCAGAAGTTGGTAGCAGGGCACAGCACAGGGCATGCTGGCCACAAGAGGAGAGGCCTAGGAGGTGGCTGGCCTTGTTTCAATGGCCTAATGGTACAATACTGGCTAGAGATACTAGAGGTCCTGGTTCAAATCTAAAGTAATCTCTCTGTGGAGGTGACATGTGGCCCCTCAACTGTAAATAAGCAGGTATCCCAGTCCAGGACTGGAGAAAGGGGCAGCTTATCACCTCTAGGCCACACCTGGTCATTCCAAACAAATCCAGTCTTCATCAGAGGGAGGGATAGCTTAGTGGTTTGAGCATTGGCCTGCTACACCCAGGGTTGTGAGCTCAATCCTTGAGGGGGGCATTTAGGGATTGGGGAAAAAATCTGTCTGGGGATTGATCCTGCTTTTAGCAGGGGGTTGGACTAGATGACCTCCTGAGGTCCCTTCCAACCCTGATATTCTATGATTCTACCTGGGGCCTCACCCCCTTCACCTGCTCTGACTTTCAGCCCAGAGGAGAAGAGCCCATGTGCTTATTCCTCAAATCACTCCACACTCCCAAGGGATCCAAACCTTCAGGTAGAAATCAACACAAATAAATACATCTGCAACAGCAGGAAGGCTCCCGGTCCTTATTGCTGAGGGCTTGATCCTACAGCCAAACCTGAGGCATCCATCAATCACGGTGGAGTGGCATGCTCATGAATAGCTCCTTGCACAACCTGAACAGGAGAGAGTCCTCTTCCCCTCACAGCCCTGCCCCCTGGGGCCTGTCCCACACCTGGGAGAGATTCAGTGTCTGAAGCAGGACATCTGTGCAAACAGTGCAGTGGCAGAGGAGAGACGTCTCTCTCCATAGCTCCGGAGCACTCCTTCCCCTTCTGTCTGTGACAGCTCAATTCGTTTTACAGAGTAAACAGAAACTATAGAACAAGCCGCAAAAATGCTGCTGTCAAGGGAGAGAAAAAACTCCACTGCCCAGTACACTGAGCTCCATTCAAGCCTCATGAAGCAAAGTGTGCTAGGAGCGGCCAACCCTTTCCGGCCCCTAATAGCTGGAACAGGCTATCACATTACAACTGGCTCATTCATTCAGAATGAAACACGGGACCAGCCCTCTCCTCAGCTCCAGGTCAGCGGGAGGAAGAAAGAAGTCATATGACTTAGCGCACACGCTGGGCCAGTGCTGCAAAGCCAAATCCCAGTGACGGGGAGAGGGGAGCAATCAGAAAAAGTGCTTTGTCCTTTTTTTCATGAGCAGACATAGAAAGGGGGAGGGGAACCCATCCCTGGAGCTAATGGGGAGAGAGGAGCATGGTCCCTGGAAAAGCACAGAGCTGCCTGGAAGGGCTTTAAACATCCATCTCTCTCTGTTCTCAGTTACTGTGAGATGTTCACATGTGCAGGGGCTTGGAGAGGGGGTTCCTGTAGCTCTGACACGCCAGGCTCTGGGCTCTCTCAGCCAGCCTGGAACACAGACTCACTACTCAGAACAGTCTATTAATTTTAGTTTCTTGGTCTGAACCAGCCCAGCATTAGCTTCCAGTCTGACTAGATGGGACAGGCAGTTGCACGGGACAACAGGCAGCAGGTTCAATGTCTCCCAGCTACAAGGTTAATTCTGATGAGAATCCAGCTAGGCTCTCAAAATATCACCCTGTGCCATGTACACAGGCTGGGGTCAGCACAGGGCCCCTGGAGTGGAGAAAGGGATGGACCATGAACTGAGAGCCAGGAACTCCTGGGCTCTCTCCCCAGCTCTGCCAGTGACGCCTGTGTGACCTTGCGTCTGGGTCCACATCTAGAAAGTAGCCATCCCTCCTGGGGATGTTCATTAGGGCCTGCTCGGCGCTCTGCAAGGACTGAGCACCCTTATTATACAGAGACGGCTCCTGGTGCTGCACTAACCGCACTGTATCAGACCCTCCTTCATGAACAGACGTGCGTGCTCTGGGGTTAGAATGAGGGTGGCTGATATAAATGGTCCCACACACGTGGGCAAACACACACATGTGATTCTTTCATTGAATGTTTGGTAAAACACAAGGATCAGGCTGGAGCATGGATCTATTAAGGAAACTGATTGTTCTACTGCAGGTCGACCTCAGGAGAGTTCAGTTGTTACACAGCGTCTCCAATCTGGGCAGCACCAAGTCCCCCTATGCAGTGCCCAGCTTCTAACGCAACCCCCTGCCCAGGTGGCAGGTGCCAAAGCTGATTTTCAGAGCCGAGCAGAAGTGATAATTAGGAGGTTCCCAACTTGTCAAGGGAGCTCTCACCGCACTTCCATTTATAGCCAAAGGTGGGTACGTGCCGTCAGACTCCCCACCTTGGGAGATTTAAAGGAGCTGATGGCATTTGGACCCCAGACCCCAATTCCGTACTGTTAATGTCCCATCTCAAGAGCTTTGCTTTGGAAATAAGATCCTAACCGAAAATAATTGACTTATGACTAAAGATGGATTTCCCCTCCTTTTTTATCTTCCCTCCTTCCAGTGAGAACATCTCCATTCAAGCCAATTTCCTTCAGCTTAGTGGCTTATAGGTGAAGGTTTCGCCTTTGCATCTCATGCCAATACCACTCCTTAGCTGGCTGGAATTGCCCAATTAACCACCATCCACATCTTCCACCAAACACCAACAGCCTTGGAACCTCTGTGTTAGGGGAATGTGCCAAATGCCTTTGACTGGGATTAGATAGGGATATTTTTGTCTTGTCTAGAAGGGGATAGGTGGTCACTATCCCTCTGCTTTGGGTGGCGCAGGAGGGAGCTAGTGCCTTTTCTTTGATTCTCCATGTGGCAGTGATCTTATCATTGATATATTTGTTTGGTTTAAGCGTCTCCTGCCCCTTCCCCATAAACACATTCCCATGGTACTTACAGTTTTCTGAATGAAAGTCAGGCACAAATTGCTCATCGCTGTCTGGAACCTGAGCTGCAACGGGGGAGAAAGAGAGATGAGGAGAATTAGATTTGGCACTTAGTAAGCTGTAATTAAACAGTAAGGCAGAAATGAGTCTGTGTGTGTAAGATCAGAGCTTTCGGCTGGAAGGCTCTGTATGGCCCAGGGCTGGTTTCCCTTAGGGATTACAAGCACATTGATGCAATTCTTCCCTCTGCAGATTCAGGGAACGTCTACACTACAAAGTTAGGTCGACTTAATTTAAGTCGACATCCAGCCGCCGCAGTAATTAAGTCTGTTGGGCGAGTCTATACCACACTCATTGTGTCGGTGGAGTGCGTCCTCACCAGCAGCTCTTGCGTCAATACACAGAGCAGTGCACTGTGGGTAGCTATGCCACAGTGCAACTAGCTGCAGGGGGTTTTGGGAAGGGCTTGCAATGCCTCATGGGACCAAAATATTGCTGCAGGGGGGAATGAGAATGGGAACATGGCTTCGACCTCCCATGACGTAGTTTCCTCCCTCTCTATCCTGATATCAACGGCATACAATCTATACTTTTTGGTGCCTTTTTTGAAAGCCTGGCTTAGCTGTGTGTATGCCATAGAGCAAGAAGCATGGACCCAGCTCAGCTGTGCACTCTAGTTGTGAGCATTACAACCACCTCACGCCTTATCCTGCCGTATTTCCAGAGCTGAGACAGGAGCCGCCGCGCGGAACATTGCGATGTCATTCAAGCAGCCCTGCTGCAACCCAAAGAACGAAACAGTTCCCGGTTGCTGCTGGCAGTCACGCAGTGGCTGAACATGGTGGAGTGCCATTTCTGGTCCTGGGAAACAAGCACTGACTGGTGGGATCACATCATTATGCAGCTGTGACAAGCATGACTGCAGGATGACGAGCAGTGGTTGTAGAACTTTTGAATGCAGAAGGCCCCTTTCCAGGAACTTCGTGCAGAGCTGTTCCCAGCCCTGAAGTGCAGCCACACTAAAATGAGACCTGCTCTGACCATGGAGAAGTGAGTGGCGATCTCTCTGAGGAAGCTTGCAAGGCCAGACTGGTACCGGTCAGTGGGGAGTCAATTCAGAGTTGGTAAATCCACTGTGGATACTGTTGTGATCCAAGTGTGCAGGACCATTAATAGACTTCTGCTAAGAAGGGTAGTGACTCTGAGCAGTGTGCAGGACATAGTGGATAGTTTTGCCGCAATGGGGTTCCTTAACTGCGGTGGGGCTATAGACGGAACGCATATCCCTATCTTGACACCAGGCCACCTTGCCAAAGAGTACACAAACCGAAAGGAATACTCTTCTATGGTGTTGCAAGCACTCGTGGATCACAGGGGCCGTTTCACCGACATCAATGTGGGATGGTCAGGAAAGGTGCATGACGTGCGTATCTTTAGGAACTCCGGTCTCTTCAGAAAGCTGCAATCGGGGACTCTCTTTACAGATCACAAAATAACCATTGATAATGTTGAAACGCCAATAATGATCCTGAGAGACCCAGCCCCCCTTGTTCCCATGGCTCATGAAGCCGTACACCGGCCACCTGGACAGCAGTAAGGATCGGTTCAACAATAGGCTGAGCAAGTGCAGAATGGTGGTGGAATGTGACTTTGGGCATTTAAAGAATCACTGGAGCAGTTTGCTTGCTGGGTTAGACCTCAGTGAAAGCAACATCCCCATTGTTATGGCTGCCTGTTGTGTGCTCCATAATATCTGTGAGGCAAAGGGAGAGAAGTTTCCGCAGGGGTGTGGCATGGAGGTGGATAGGTTGACAGCCGATTTTGAGTGGCCAGATACCAGGGCAATAAGAAGAGCCCAGCAAGGAGCTCTGTGTCTCCAGGAGGTTTGAAAACCCGGTTCAGTAATGAGCACTGCTTATCTGCGTTGTGCCTTCCCATACCATCTCCTCTGTTGCATCAGTTTCCCTGCACCTCCCCTTCCCTCACACACCCTCATGCTTGCAATAAATAAAGTGTATTTCATTCTCAAAACATTGACTTTTATTGCACAAACATAAAGAAACTGAAAGAGCAGGGAAATAATTTAACCTTGGGCAAACAGTGGGATAAAATTGAGAGGGGAGAAACCAAGTCAGCTTGTCTGTGAAAGCACAGAAGTCTTGCCCATCAAAGGTCTTCAAATGGCCACCTTTTGTTCTTAGTCCCCCCACCCCACCCCTGGGGTTGAGTGGAAGGGATACTGCATCTCCCCCCCTTTCTCCCCTAGCCTCCTGGAATGTTTGGGGGAGGGAGACTGGGAATAAGGTGATGTTTGCAGGCCGTCATGCTGTTTTTCTTGAAGCTCAACCACACGCTCCAACATGTCTGACTGATCCCTCATAATCCGCAGCATCTCATCCTGCATGGCACACTCATGCTCCTGGGATGCTCTCTTGCTCTCTCTGCCCATGTCCAGTTTTTCAGACAATGAAATCCTCCAGGCTCTGAGCTCCATGTCCACTGTCCTGGACGCGTTCATTATCTTGCTGAACAAGTCGTCACACGTTCTCTTTTTCCATCTTCTAATCTGCGAAAGCCTCTCTGCTGGGTGGAGGCTGTGCTGAAGGCCAAGCTTTCCACTGTAAGGCATGCAAAGGTTGCTATTTAAAAATCCCTCCCCTTATTACACTCAAGTGCAAGCCAGAACATAATCAGAATCTCTAGCCATCCAGTAAACCTGTCTGCTTGGAGACCAGGGACCAGTGTTAAGCCTCCCAAATTGCATTTTTTTATCTGGGGCAGCTCCAAGGTGGGGGCAGGGGAGGGAGGGGGCGCGTTGCGGCCACGAGAGAACACAGGAAGCCCACCCTCCCCTTCCCTTAACGCTGCAGGTAGCAGTTGCCCTGGGCTTGCAGATTCTGAGTTCCCTGCCAACCAAAACACTGGCATGTTAGGGAAACTGTGGTTGAGGGACTCGGAAATCATCGTGGGTGGTAGATCACATGCTCTATTGTTTGTGGTCCGAGCACTTGTAATGAAAACTTCCACAGTCTCCCCTAGGTGACCCTATGTGACATCACTCTTCTGAGGATGACAGAGGTGGCAAGGGAGCAGATGCTGCAAGCATCTGGGTAGAGAACTGGTCCTTATGCTGATATGCTGTGTACTGCAATGAAGCCAGCAGAGTTAATACTGGAGTGGCGTGGGAAAGTGTCCTACCCTGGTGGAAGAAATAAGGCAGTCCTTCCCAGAAACCTGCAAACGATTGCAGAGTACCTCCATGAAAGTTTCCTGGAGGTCTCCATGGAGGATTCCCAGACAGTCCCTATGCACATAAACAGTCTTTTCTGGGGTGCACCCTCTGCGTAGCTGGAGTGGCCACTGGGAAGCAGATTTCCACTGCACCTCACTTTTTCTTCATCTTAAACAAAAAGTATAAGAGCATGTAACCCCTACAGTTTGGTTGGAATTGCATATTCACCAGAGGTGCCTTCCCCTGCATCATGCTTGGCCACCATGCTGTCCTGCACTTGCTGGGCTATGGGGTTAAAAATAGCTCCTGGCTCTTGGAGAGAATGGATCTGCCACTCGCCTGTCCCACATTCTCCTCCGCTTCCTCGTCCAGAATGTCCTCCTCGTTGTTGCCTGAGGTGGCCCAGGACTCAGACTCCTGGGAGGTATCCACACTGCGTTTGGCGGCAGTGGTGGGGGTCACTGCTGAGAATCGCATGCAGCTCACTGTAGAAGTGGCATATTGGTGGTGCAGAACCAGAATGACTGTTCACCTCCTTTGGATTCTGGTACGCCTGCCTAAGTTCTTTGATTTTCACATGGCACTGTTGCATGCCCCTGGTGTAGCCCTTCTCTCCCATGCCCTGCACAAGCTTTTCGTAGATGTCTACATTTCTTCGGCTGGATAGGAGATGTGCCTGCATAGACTCTTCTCTCCACAGACCAATAAGATCCACAACTTCCAGGCTGGAGCATGTTTGGGGCATTGCATCACCATGATCATAGAATATCAGGGTTGGAAGGGACCTCAGGAGGTCATCTAGTCCAACCCCCTGCTCAAAGCGGAACCACTCCCCAAATCCCTAAATGGCCCCCTCAAGGATTGAACTCACAACCCTAGGTTTAGCAGGCCAATGCTCAAACCACTGAGCTATCCCTCCCCGCAGCTGGGCTGGTGAGCTCTCCATGCTGATCAAACAGGAAATGGAAATTTAAAAGTTCCCGGGGCTTTAACAGGGAAGATGCTGTTTCCTGTGAACTTGGCCACTGGGCAGCGGAGTTGAAAACGATCTCCAGAGCAATCAATCTCTGGAGCATTGTGGGACACCTCCTGGAGGCTAATTTGGTCAACTTACACAATGTTGCGTCTACACTGCCTCTCTATTGACCCATCAACATCGAATTAAGTGCTACGTCTCTTGCAGAGGTGAAGTAATTAAGTCAACATTACAGGTGAATTATGTCAGCAGCAGGGACCCAGTAGTGTACACACACACATTATTAGGTTGACATAAGGTGGCTTCTGTCGACCTAAGTTTGTAGTGTAGATCAGGCCTCAGTTTCTTTCCCTCTTTTCTTCAAAGTCAAGATGAATATTTAGGTTTATTTGCTCTTTCTAATTAGGGTTCATTATTTCCCAATACCCAGGAATCTTAGAGAATTCATCGTGGCACAGATAGCTACTGACTGAGAAACTCAAGTTGGGAAGGATATGCCAGGTCCTGAGAGAAGCAAGAAACATCTATGTCTCTGCACGAACATAGCCTTTGCAAAGCAATAGTGCCAGAAAAAGCAGATTGCTTGGCACTGGTGGGGAAGGCTGGAGTTCGTAAGTTACTAACAGAAGACAGAGCATTTCAGAGAAAGCATTTAAGCTCTGTATGTATGTGTGGGAGAGAAAGCCTCCCCTCTGTATGTGTGCTCTCTCAGGTGGGAAATTTAGGAGAAAATTGTAGCATATTGGCATCTTATATGACCTGCCAAACACCTGATCTCTCTCCTCACAAAGACAACACTAAACAGCTCACAGTCACACCCCAGGAGGCCTGCACTTCCTGCTGAAGAGACTGTAAAT